TTTTTTAATCCATAAATCAAATAATCACAAACTGTCACACAAAGACCCTGGGGTCATTGGGTCCCCATTAGGTTTTACTTATGGTTTTACTTGTTAATGTTAAAAAATGTATGCCTCTGCTGCTATACCAATACAATGAAGGTGAATAGAATTTTTTTTGTTGCTCAACGCATCAAAAAACAAACAAAAAAACAAATAAACAAACAAAAAAAAACTAAATAGTATTTTAAACAATATCCCAGTTACTCAGGATAAATCTGACCTCATTCATTTTATTGAGACTCCTTTAGTACATTTTACAAGACACTCGATTCAAGTCTCAGCATAAGTTTCATAAGAGGATGACACCACCTGTCAGTGACAACATGCTGCACTAGAATAAACATGAATGACTGTTGGTTTCAAGGCCTCATAGCAACCATAGTAAAACAATCTGCCTACTTTATAAAACTGAAAATTGCTTGTCGTGGCTATGAGTAGATGCAGGGTGGGAAAGGTTTATCCTCGATCAAATGTCTATACTTTTGATGCCAGAGTGATGTCCAGACATCAGCTGCAACGGAAACAAAACCAACTGTACATTGACTGTTTGCTTTGACCAAAAAAGGAATTTACATTTTTACATCATCACATTTGAAACAGTCCCAGGACATTTATAGAAAACCTGACATCAGAGTCCTGTGGTCATGTTGAATCAGGAGGGTTACTGTCCTCTGGAAAACAAGAGAAGTTCTTCTCTTTCCTGCTGAAGCTCTTCCCATTTCTTCTGTAGCTCTGCCTTTTCCTTCTGCAGCTCTTCTCTCTGTGTATTTAATTCTTTGGCTTCCTCCTGCTGTGCTTTTCTCAGTGACTCAATTTTCTCCCTTTCTACAGCTGCCTCTTTGGCATCCGCTGCGCGCAGCTTCTCAAGCAGCTCCCTCTGATGCTCCAGAGCCCGAGCCTCCTCCTTTTGTGTCCTCCTCAGAGCTTCAATCAGCTCCCGCTCTCTCCTCAACACACGCCTTTCTCCATCAGATGCTCTTGAACCTTTTCAACACCCATTAAGAAGAAGGAAGCAGCAATACACATTTAGTCTCATTACGACCTTGGATACAGTAGAAGCACAACATGAAATAAATAATGTTTTGAAACTCGATATCAATTAACTTACGCTGACTCAACTCAACAGAGCACTTTATTAGGAACAACACACTGGTAATTATGGTTGCTTAGAAAACAGTTTACATTTGTATTCTGTTTCATGAAAAAGTGGCGCAGTGATATTAATTATAGTATATGTGAATTATGAATTAATTATGTGATTACAAGTAGGTGAGAGATTCATGTATTTGCCATGACAGTATTTTCAGAAAGTATTGTTTGGGAAGATGCCTTTGAAAAAATGATTTCAAACTCAAACAGTAGTGAGATATAAGAACGTACCTGATCTCTGTCTCTGTTCTGTCGCCCCAGCAGTCTCTGGTGGGGTCAATGTGTCACCGTTAGCATTTGAGCTAGATGGAGGTGGTTTAAGCCCGTCAGCCACTAGTCTAGAAAACACCTCTGGGTGTCTCTTTGACATGTGTCGACGCAAGTTGCTGGTGCCACCACCTTCAAAGCACTGTAACTTCTTCATGCAAATGTGGCAACGAGCAGCATTCAAACTGTCCAAACGCTCATAGTGCCTCCAAATCAAGCTCCGTTTGTGCCGGCATCGTCTTACAGGGCGGTCGTCACTCCCCTCTTCATGTGTTATTTGTTCTGCTGCATCTCCATGTGCTGATTCCAGGATGCCATTAATAGCAGAATTAATATCAGATTCATTCATGTTAGTATGGACGTCAGAGTCTCCGTCCTCCAGTGCTACTTCCACTAAAGAAGAGGAAAATAAAGTTATAATTAGGTCTGCAGCTAATGATTCATTATTGATTAATATATTGAATTTTTAAAATAACTACTTAATCATGTGTAAAATGTCAGCAAACAGTAAAATTACCCATTACAAGTTCCTAAATTCCAATCTGACACCTTCAAATGTTTTGTCTGACCAACAGTCCAAAACCCAAATTACAATGAGAAAAGAGAAAAGCAGCAAAGCCTCAAATTTGAGAAGCAAATATTAGGCATTTCACCAATGACTAGAACAATTAATCTATAACAAAAATGGTGGGTGATTAATTTTCTGTTGATCAGTTAGTCGATTTAAAAACCAATTGTTCAGCACAGTCATGATAACATACTGTTTCACTGGATTCTTATTCTTTCAGATGCGACAGAGAGATGACAAGATGAATATCCTGTCTTTTGATCCATTCTTTCAATTTACAACATACTGATCACCATTAACTAAACTCAATTTTTTCCCAATTTCCCAAGGTGACATTGTCATTTGTTTTGTTTTTATCTAAATAACACCCAAAGATATTTCGTTTATTATCATGTATGAAGAAGAAAAGCAACAAATCCTAACATTTAAGAACATGGAAAACAACACATTTTGACAATTTTGCTTAAACGACTATAATCTTAAATGACTATGACTTTAAAATTGTTAATTTTCTGTCAACCGACAACTCGATTATTCGATTAGTCTTTGCAGCTGCAGCTACCAGGTGCTTCAATGAACTACCCACAGATTATTCAGTGAACCATACCGGAGCACAACTGTTCACAGTCCGTGTCCACGTCTTGAAGACCGTTTCTGGGTATAGTTTCGGGTGCCTGTCCTATACATTTCTTGGCGACCTCTTTGGGGTGTTTGACACGCAGATGTCTCAACATGGCCGTGGTGCTGCCCTGGACCTGTCTGGACTGGTAGCCCCTGCAGAGCAGACACTGGACCGACTGTGAGTCCACAGTTTTAAAGAAGCCCCAAACCATGCTTCTCTTGCGGGTCATCTCTCTGGGTGGCTCCGGGGTGTCAACACACAACATTAGCTAGCCACTGTTGTCCAATTCACGTCCTGCTTATACTCAACTTCGTAGCTATAAGTGAAATAAAGTGGCCGTGTAATTTCCACTACTCAGTTATTTCCACACAATCCGATTTTAATAAATGTAACAGTAGTATCAGTTGTGGTAGCTGTTGTGCTAAGTTAGCCGAGCTATATTTACTGCTGCCGCACCGTCATATCCGGGTTGTCTGACCACCGCCTCCTCCTCTTCCACTTCTTTTATTTATTTACTTTGTTTAATTTATAAATGTACACTAAATCCAATATTGAGAACAATGAAATAGAAGAGAATAATAATAATGAAAGAAAAGAAATAAGATAAAACAGCAGAATCAAGTTGAGAAAAAAACACTAATTTACAGTTTTAACAGCCTTTTTATTTGTGCAAGATTTAATAAGTGATGCTCACATTCTTTATGTAAAGCAGAAAAGAGAGGTCTTTTGCCGGTAAATTTACATTTATGAATATGAAACTTGATAATTATAAGATTGGTGATGGGTATTTTTCATTCTTCTGTTATAGTTTAAAAACCCACAGTGTATATTATAAATAGCCTGTGCCTTTACATCTTCTGACAATCACTTCTCCATTTATCTTCTCTGTGTTAGAGCCAGCAGGAGCCAGCAGACTGTTCAAGTTTTAAATAATTAATTGGTATTTCATTCATTCATTCATTCATTCGTTTGTTTGTTTGTTTGTTGAAACTGTGTTATGGAGGTGTTGATTCAAACGTTTGATAATTTTGGAGAAGGTAGTATGTTTCTGTCATCTAGCTGGCTGTCACTGATATAAACAGGATGGACAAAATAACAGAAATACTTTTCAGCACCTCTCTAAAACAGTTTCAAGACTGAACATTATAACCTCCATGAAGGTAGAATTTATGGCAGGACTGTTGGATCATACTGAATTAGTTTTAGGTGTACCTTATAAACCAAATGTTTAACAGGGTAAAATTTGTGTAGTTTAAAGTTATAAGGACCCCTCCTTTATCTTACTGGTGCTGAGATATTTGAGGGCAATCCTTCGTCTTGTTTCACTGGGTAGTGATAGACATATGGAATACAAATAACCTCCTGCTGAAATTAAAAAAAAAGGACTTAAGTACTGATGTCTCAGTGGGATAAGGAAAATTTCTGTACATCTCCCATCACAAGGTGATATTCTGTAGTTGATACAGGAAAATTTAAATGAGATAAGCTTGATGTTCCAACCGGTCAAGGCAGTCGACCCCCCCCGAGCCCAGTTCTGTTGGAGGTTTCCTCCTATTAAAATGGAGTTTTTCCTTCCCCATGTCGCCAATTGCTTGCTCTTTGTGGGAACTGCTGGGTTTCTCTCTATAATAAAGTAAGGTCTCGATCTTACGCTTTAATGTACCGTGAGATAATGTATATTATGATTTGGCGCTATTCAAATAAAATTGAACCGAATTGAATAAATTCACTGTAATTCATGAGATAAAGTTGAATCAACACCTCTCCAAAAGTTATTTTTAGCTAGGTGCACCTAATAAATTGAGTGTATCTTCCTTAAATGCTTCTAATGCTACTCTTTGATGTTTTGTGGTGCAGTGTAGAAAGATTGCAGACAATGATAATGTTAGATAATAACAACAGAGCAATAGCTTAGAGCAAACCTGCACTTTGATACACATGCAGATTAGTCATTCAGCAACTCCCACATGAATGCAGCATAATGCCTCCATGGAGACATGGTGACTCTATGGAGACGAGGGAGGAGACATGAGGTAACATATTGCATGATGCAGTGTAAGTGATTATTCAGTCTGACTATAGGTAAAGGTTAGCATGCTGCTAGCTCAGTCTAGAAACCTGACTCACCTGGCCTGGGCAGAAATATTTGATTTACAAAATATTGGATAATGTTAAATATGTCAAAATGGTGTTAACATTATTGCGGCAGTGTTCATCTCCGTAAAGAACTGAGTATCTTATCAAAGGACACTAAACATCTGTTTTCTACGGTTTCAATACAAAGACCTAACCTGACGAGTAAAGGTACATTTTTTTTTACACTATTAATAAAGTGAGGTCTGACCAAAGACATTAAATGAAGACAACTGTATTTATTAAATGAAATATCTGTCAGGCAGATGAACAGTACAGTTTCCCGACTTAAATGCAACACATTGTGCTCAACAAGCCATATTATCAATTAAAACAACACTAAATCTAAACAAGATAAATATTACAGCTTTAAACAGAAATTCACAGGCTGAAAACACAAACACTGAACAGAATGAATGAAGGGAAACTTTCTCCACACCAAGACATAAATAAATACAAAAGGTCTTCCTTTTACACACAAATGTTAAATTCATTTTTGCAGTGAGCTGGCTGGTACAAGCATTACACTGCATATTAAATAGGTGGCATTTTATCAGTTATCAGTGCAAAAAAACCAAAACAAAACAAAAGCAACTGTTAACAAGACGGTAAAAATTCGGTTGGAATGTATTTTAATAGTGGTGTGTTATGGAGCATCCTGCAGGCAAATGTGTTAAAGACACTTAATGTAAACTTGATTTAGGGTTTTTGTAAAGCACTGTTGGGATAGCGTGAGGTAAGCGTGTAACATGTATGCGTCCTTATGTGCAGATCTTGCGTGGGTCTAAGAAGGGGACAGACCAATCAAATCACACCAGTACACTGCATCTGTCTTCAATATTATTTAGGATATTCAGCAGAACTGAGATGCAGTGAGTGACTACAACAACCACAAACTGTTCAACACTTCCTGCCTCTGAACATGTTAAAGAGGCAAACATTTCTTCTCTCATGCACATCAAATCCAGTGGTTCTACTCAATGAAAACATCAGCAAGGTTTCAGGATGACTGGTGTAAGGGGGTGGGGTGGGGTGGGGTGGCAGACCCATCCTCTAGATTTAAACATCTGTAATAACTTTAAATGCATAGATTGCATGAAAAAAAAAATCTTATAAAACATATAAAATTACTTCAATGGTTAACACATGTAAACAAACTTTTTACACACATTTTAAACTCAGGCTTTGTATCTAATGACAGTTTAACAATAAAAGGCCACTTTCTAGAACAAGCCTGTTTGTCATAATGTAAAAAGATTTAACGCGTTACTACAGCTGTAATCTGTCCTTTGTGTAAGCTCAACAGGCGACAGTTGAAAGTTGGTAGTTTCTTCCTTCGCGGTCAGTTTCAATGGTTAAATAGATGACAATTGGTTTTCAGTGGACAACAGATACCAAACAATCCTATAAATCCCTCTGAGGCATAATCCACTTCACCTCTGTCCTTACATTTGTTCTGTTCCAAACAGTCAACATCTATCCTTGAGGTAATGCACTTGTTTGGAAGTAGTATATTTTGATGAAATTAAGAATGAAAATCCTGAGATGACGTAGGTGTGGTTTGAGTGGTTCAGATGGTTTTGATACCATGAAAACTTGTCAGTACTGAAGTCCACAGTCACAGACACAAAATCCAGCTGACTAGAGCTGCTCTGTCAGCGAAGCAGGAAACTACAACTTTTTTCAACCTCTCTTCTAGCTTATAGGGAATGAGTGATACTCAATTGTTCAATTTAAAATGAAGTACCACTTTAAGAAATGGGCATTTTGAGGGGCAATGCTACAAATTAGACTTTTTTATTATTCGGTTCTCTATATAGCTTATTTTACTCAATCCCTGGTATGTTATGTAGGCCATCGCAGGCTGTAACATAAAAACTTACTAGCCCCTCTTTTTATTTTTTAACAATCTAAATTTATGCTTCTTATTACACATAAAAAAAAACTCTACACAGCTCCATTATTCTTATTCTGAATTTTACAGAGGTTGCTCTCCACTGGAGAAATTGAATTCTGAATCACCGCACTGCAACTATTTTGTTAGTCAAATCATCCTAATGCTTTGATATTCACATTCATGTCTGAGGTAAACACTTTCATCCAGAATAAGGTGCTATTGGTGTTGGGAATACATTAACACCAAAATATTTGTAAATATATAAATGCTATGTACAATAGAGATTAAAATCTTATCTCAGTTGTTCTATAAACCTACACTAACTATTTTCACCTCACACAGTGTCTGAATTAACAGCTTGGACAAACTGTGCTGGACCTAAATGTTCTGGTAGTGATTATTTACTAACTGCCACAGTACAAAACCTGCTTGAAGTGAAAAGAAGGGCTATGTTCAGACATTCACTTGTTTTTTTGAGATATAGGCAGTTCTGCTCTCGGCCAATATTTGACATATGTGTGGTGTTTTGCTGACAGGTGATGCATATCAGCCTAATTTAGCTGGAAATTTGCAGTCATGGCTCCATGACTTCAAGCTTCAGACAATAACGGCCGTCAATTTTTTGGTAACAAAGATTTTGGCACACTTAAAGCAAATACAGAGCTTTTATAATATGTTCTTTGAAAATCAGAATAATGGAGCTGTGGATGACAATTTAGTGAACAAACAAATTGCAACTGTGGGGGTGCAAATATCAACAAAACAGTTACATCCTATCAACCAAAATATTCTGTTCAAAATGTGAAAGTAGTCATGTGTAATGTAAACTGCTAAAGCAAATGAAGTAAAGGAGCAACATTCAGAGCCCAGTTTTGTCAGACATGTAGTAGTTGCACTGGGTGAATAAATATATCTAGTTCTTATTTCTCTGCAGAGCCTCACACAAGTTGTGGTTTGGATCTGGCTCCTGACTCATGATCTCAACACACTCCCATTCTCCACTACAGCTGGACCGTTTCACCGCCTCGACCACCGTCTGCACATACAGACCATCCTCAAATGTTGGTGCCATGGCAACTGGTCCTCGTGCCCATGACCTGCGCTCCTCATGAGCCTGAAAAGACTGTCTCAGTGCCTTTACCATAGAGCTGAGCCCCCTCAGGTGAGGCAGGGGCATCTCTTTCACCTCTGGTCCCACCCACCCACTGTCACCTAGCAACAGCTCCTCACCTTTACTCCCATTGCGTTGACCATACAGTTCTGTCCCCCTGGCAACCAACCTACCGGTGGATCCAACCACCATAACCTCATGCACAAATGACCCTGGCATGTTGAAGTTCAGGGTCACGGTGCAACACACACCACAAGAACTAGATCCTGTTCCACCCATCAACATTTGGAAGAAACAAAAATCGTCACTGGTGACGCGGCGAATGCCTCGGATCAAACTGTTCTGTTGCACAAAGGTCCGCAGTAAGCCATGTACACGATGGGCTCTAGTGCCAGTCAGGTAACTTAAAAGGTCGATGATGGCAGAGCCGACAGTGTGCAGACCACCTCCTCCCATGAGCTCCTCACAGGTCCATCCGTACGACTGGTCCAGGAGACTTGGGCCGTAGACCCGGACATCGCACACCTGCATTTCGCCAACATATCCCTCCACCAGCATCTGCCGCATTGCAACGAAAGCTGGCAGGAAGCGCAAGGTATTACCCATAATGCTGAGCAGCTGGGGGTAGTATCTGGCTGCAGTCACCATCTTGAATGAATCCACTGCAGTTGCAGCTTTCTCACACACAACATTCTTACCTATACCTGCAGAGAGAGAGAGAGGGAAGGGTGGAGTTATTATTATTCACATAAGACTGAATTCAATGATATCATCATATATGATCCCATAAAACCATTTCATGATTTTTGGTTGTTAAACAATTAATTTTCTTCTTTCAATTATTATTTAAACACACAATTCATGTTTTATATACACTCAGTTTTTTTCAACAAAAAAGGTAGGGTTTATTGAAGGGCTGTGGTATTAAACTGCATTTGTTTTTGCTAGATGTATCTTTGTAATGGTAGCTGTGAATAATGCTTGGGGTTTTAAGTTATAGTTATAGTATATCAAATATGGTTTGAGGGCATGGTGTGGACTTCGTGTCTCAGTGCTTAGGCACACTGTGGAGCTGATGGCCTTAGATGGCATTAAAGTCCAGTTCCTTGGGTTTGGTATGAATAAAAAGTCAACATTCTCCTGTAAGCACATATGATAACAGAGGGTGTGCATAGTTTTTATACATGGAGATCAGCAGCCTTCAGTACCCCTTGGAATTAGTGCCATGGATAAGTCCTTTGGTGGGGACACACTCAGGAAGTTGCAACTAAAACAGGAAGCTGAAGTCAACACTCAGGAATTCCATCAGATACAGTAAGTTAACTTTATAGATCTACTCCTCTCTGATACAACAGTGTGGTGATTATGTTTGCTGCAATGTGTTTCGAACAGACGAGAGATGTGGGGAATTTCAGGTTTCTGTCTGTAAGCTTTGCTTTGTTTTTTCCCTTTAGATGACTTCATTCCCTGTGGTCATGGCTACGATCGCCATTAATCACATCCCAAGGATAAAAAAATGTATACACTGCATTCTTCTGCAAATATAAAATATGTCACAGAAGAATGCTGTCATTTTGAGTATATGCATCTTTTGGTGAGTACTGTCATCATAGTCAAAAAATTCAAATCTGTTCCAGAGCTGAACTGCCCCGCCCAGCTGGGTCAGGTCATATTAGCAGTTTGTGTGACTCAGATGCTCATCCAGTTTATGAGGAAAGTAGAATATAAGACCTGGACCTGGTATATAGGAAGAACCCTGAATTAATTTGTCATTCATATAAACCCATAAATTATGAATTCTCTTTTGTAAAAGAAATCTGCTGTCTTTCAATGAACATCCACCAAGCTCTTTTTTAAGCAATATTGTACGTTTGGTTTTATGGCTTATGATGGCCTAGCAGCATGTACAGTATGTAGGCACAGCACAGATGTTAAGTGTAAAAGTGCCAGTTAGACACTTATGCGCCCAAGATTTTAGGAAAGGGCAGCCTTGCAAAAGGAAATAAGTCTGCATTTTAGTAAAAGTGTATGTTTTTTTTTGACCTCTTACCCAGTGCTTTGACAGCTATCTGCCTTGTCATTGAAGGTGGAATATAGATGCAGACCAGGTCGACATCTTGGTGCAGCAGGACGTCATCAGATCGGCTGGTGTGAAATGGGATGCCAAGTTCCTTTGCCAAGCAGCATGCTTCCTCTTCGCTTCGCCCCCAGAGTGCATGAACCTCAAAGCCTTCAGCTTTCAACAACGGGACCAGCACACGGGCTGTGCTCCCCGTGCCAAACACACCTACTCCTGGCAGCATGGCAGTGCCACTCACTGTGAGCTTACGTGTGAACCATGGCCAGCCTCACTGACATCTCAAATGCCCATGATCCACTATTCTATCAAGGTCTTTACTGTTGTCAGGAAATCTGAGTTTACCTGTAGAAATAAATGAACACAACATTTAAACTGGGTGACTCTGACAAAATCACAATTTTTTATTTCAATAATGCAACAATATTCTGGGTGCGTATGTTTCTGAGATTACTTACACATAATCACTTTATCATTAGTAATGTGGGATTTAAGGACAAGACATAATTAAATCTATATCACAATTTCATGATAAGAAAACAACAGACAGTAGCTTCTCTTATGGAACAATATCTATCTTATCAATTTATCTCATAGCTCTAGTGACTGTATCAACAAACAGGTTTAGACCAGTTTTTCCTATCAGCAGTTTCTGACGGCCACTTACATTGTGTCCTGCTACATAGTTAACATGCCATTCCTCAGATGTTCCACACCCGCTGAAAGTAAACGTCATCCCTACCTATGTAGCAAGTGTAATTTATGTCTTTGTGTATAACCTTATCCAGGCTAAACAATAATTTAGTTCTGCAGACAGAACAATTAACTAACATCAATATGAAATACTGTGCAGCTCAGCTCGCCTGAGGCTCTCCCAACTAGCCACTTACCTTTGGTGATTTCCTGATCTGACTGTTATGGATGTGTAACTGCTGTGTGGATATCAGTCATCCATGTAATGTTATTGTTGTACTACAGTGGGTTTGTATGGTGGGAGCACCTGCCCACAGTAATCTAATCAGAAATTATTTTGATATATACATATACATACATGAGAGTAAACTGAATATATCTGAACTGTGGATTTTGGACTGTTGGTCAGAAAAAAACAACATATTTGAAGATGTCTCCCTGGTCTGTGGGGACTCATGATTATTGTTGTTGATGGTATTTTCCACTATTTTCTGGCATTTCATAGACAAAGTAGTCGTTCGTTTAAGTCCTACACAGCAATATTTATTGAGAAGTTCTCATAGCTGAAAGTTGCGTAGAGCTGGAGTATGAGCAATTTTAATGAGGTTCAGCAAATACTTATCAAAATAGTATCATGTATTTAAGTGATAAGAGGTGATGTTAATCTTAGAGTAGTGGCTGTCAGGAGCTGACTCTGCGCCTCACTTGTCTTCCTGTAACCATGACTGTACAACAACAGGCTGATACAGGCGTGTGTGTCTGATGTGCACCTGCAGTACCTATGTAACCAGCGCTCAAACAAACGCATACATTTACCAGGCTGACAGCAGATGAAGCCTCTCTCTCTCTATCTCTCACACACACAGAGAGACTGGAAAGTAACCTAGCCGTGTTGTGCTGCTGTCCGCTGGTCCGATAACAAAGCGACAGTTTGGTGTAGCGTGGCTGCACCAAACTGTCGCTGGCGAGATTCAATAATAGTTGGGTATTAACGATGATTATTACGATACCCCAAACCTGCAGAAAGTGACCACTACTTAATCTGATCTATACGTATATTGGTTATGTGCTCCGGATGGCTATGGCTCCCACACATTAAGCTAGCTCACCACTCAGCTGCTCGACACTGAGGTTATTGATAACGTTAGCTAGCGCGTTTAGCTAGCCGGCCAGACAGGAGCAAAGCCAACCAGAACCTCGCGACAAACGTATGTACTTTACAGAGTTCAGATCTAAAGTAAATGTGTCTGGCGGTCTTTAAAATTTGTATAACGACAATACGTAGCGAAATGTTAAGTTATGTACCTACTGTATTGGGCAGGACATCAGCTGCGGTAGTGGGTGTTGAGCCGGGCGCTGCCCAGTTGCTAATGGTAACTTCAACAGCAACGGCAGGACTGTGGGGAGAGGCGGAGATACTACAAGAGGCTGGAGATGGGTCACCGCCAGCGGAGAATTCTGTAAGCGACACAGCGGACACTAGCTAGACTTGAAAATATGGCTTGTAAACACCAAACATTCGTAAAATTGTTCCTGTGAAACGTGACATTTTGCAGATAACAGGTAAATCAGTAGAAAATGAGATATGTGAACGTATGAGGCCATAGCTTCTATAAGAAGTGACTGTAAATGTTTCACATTTGAAAGTCCTAGATCTCAGTTAAAAGAAATAAGACGATCCCAAAGATAGACCACAAGAAGATCAAAACGGCCATAAATACAAACAATAACCACAAAGTGATACAAAACAACTATAGAGGGACGCAAAATGACAACAAAGAGACAAAATGATCACAAGGGGATGCAAACAACCACAAAGCGATGCGAAATGACCACAGTGCTACAAAACAATCACAAAAAGACAAAACAACACAGGATTTGTCATTGTTTTGTGTCCCTTGCACCCGGAGGGAAATTTTACTTGTCTCTCCCCAGGGGCCTGTTTTCTCATAATCCATCCCTGAATATACATGTGCCTCGGGGAGCAGGGGAATTCTTGGATCAGGTGTTACAGTTTTCCCATGATTTGGTGTGCTAGCCTGGCTTTTACACAGACCTCATTTGAAAAAGTAACTTTATGTAAACATTTTTTTATGTAAACAACACAATTCTGCAAGCTATAACTCAAATAGGTCCTCACAAAGATAGAAGTACAAGTACACACAGACATTAGACATATAAACATAGATTGTCTTATGTTAATTGTGAGGACACTTGCATTCCTCTGTCCCTTACCCTACCATAACCATCACAACAAAACTAAATGTCTTAACCCTCAAACAGCCCTTTGAAGTTGTGAGGACTGGCCAAAAGTTGCCATGACAATGGTTTCAAACCATCAAAATGATAGATAATGACAGATAATTCTATAATTACAATATTAATATTATATTAATACTAATATGGTGTCATCATATTGTTTCCAAAGAAATGGTCCATATTGCCCACCAAGATGTAGAGATCAGTCCACCAGAGAACTCTACCTGACTTAAAACTTAAAAAACTTAAGGTAAGATGTTTCAGTGTGGCTGTATCCTGCACTTCAAGCTACAGATGAGTCTGCTAACATATAGTGTGTGTCTTATGGATCAGTAGATAACATCCAAAAGGGTCTGACAGGTGGAGTCATGGTTGGATGGGGATCATATGAAATATGACATGAATGCAGAGTGTGGAAATGCACAGTCATCCAACATCCAAACCACTTCATCCTCCATGGGGAGATATGGGGCTGTTACTTCCCTGTTGTTGTCACCACACTCTCAGGCATACAAGAAGGCCCTATAAGGCCATCAGGTGGCTGATAAAGGGTATTACCGCATGGCTGCTTCAGATGGAAAAATTGATAAAGCTGTGGCAGGTTTCAGCTCTGTCACATTTAATACAGACACATGGAATTTTATGTTCCATGTCAACAAAGTAGTGCGTGTTACCCTTTGAACAATAAACTATGTCAGATACTATTTGCATTTGACCTTTGTGGGTGGATATTGAACTATTCTAATGTGAGGATGAGAAAATCTCACAGCTTGATTAGGACAAAGCCCCAACACACCCACAGTCCAACCACACAGGTGTTTTTTTTTTTTAAATTTATGTTGCCTAATTAAACCTCCTCTCAGGACTTATTAGTTCATAGAGTTCGGTTACATCAGGTAATTCCCAGGGTAGCTCCAACTTACTTCAACCTGACTAGAGTTTTAATAAGCTAGTGTAACTGAAAACACCTGCGCAGGGCTTTTAACAAACCAGTTCTATTATGCATGGAAAATAACATCTAAATATCTAATAATATCTCCAACTTTTTTTGGCTTTTTGTTTTTGTACAGGCATTACCAGAAGTTAAAATAGTAACGTCTCCTGGGATCACCAACATGTTGTGTTTGGCATGGTGCAGAACCTGAAAAACCTTTAATACAGTTTACTGTTGTAGCATTATTGCATGAGTAATAATCTAATAATATTACATATAACAGATTATTAATCACAAGATATTTTTTTTACTGCATTGAGTAGCTACTTTTATGTTTGATGCTTTTTGTACATTTTTAGTGCTTGTATACTTTTACTGCAGTATCGTTTGATGGGATGGGTTTTCCCAGTGTGGCATTGGTAGTTTTACTTAGTAGTTCAAGTGAAGGATCAGAATACAACCTCCACCATGGATAATGACTAAATGAAAAGATTAGTGCCTCTCGCTGTCGTGTTTCCACACTCTGACCAGAAGGGGCGCTAGAGTGCTAACGGACCTGGACAGGAAGCGCAAGGGCTTATGGTACTTTTAGTTCTCAGTGGACGTCGGTTGGCCTGATAACACCGCGAAGAACAAAACCAAACATTTACCTCCGAAAATAAAACACCAGCCTGGAAGTTAGTATCGGTGCATGCTTCGTCTGCTCAGAAGCCAGATAAGTTCGAGTGGATTCAGTCGTCGTACGGAGCGCATCGGCTCAGTTTTTGGTAGAAAATAAACAGGAAGTTGTTAGCGTTGTGGGACGTGTAGTTCCGCTTGCAGGCCGCGGAGCTTGATAACAACGCACAGAATAAAGAAACAACAATAAAATAACCCAGGCTTCACTCCGAGACTGCGTCTTAACCCTCGGCGCTGAGGCAAACATGCCCGGGTTTACCTGCTGTGTACCTGGCTGCTATAACAACTCGCACCGGGACCGCGACCTGCGCTTCTACACGTTTCCTAAGGACACCGCGCTGAGGGAGCTGTGGCTGAGGAACATCTCCCGGGCCGGGGTCAGCGGCTGCTTCAGCACCTTCCAGCCGACCACAGGGCACCGAGTCTGCAGCGTGCATTTCGCCGGCGGGAGGAAAACCTACAGCATCCGAGTACCGTCCCTTTTCCCTTTGCGTGGGGTCAACGAGCGCAGGAGTCGGCGGGGCAGAGGCAGGAAAGTGTCCGCGGGGGTTCCTGCCCCCGCCGCCGCAGCGACCTCCGGGATTGTCCTCACCAGCGTCCTGGGCAGCACGGCGGAAGGAGCCGAGGGCAATGCTGGCGGTGAGGCGAGCGACGACAGCATCACCGTGGTTCAGATAGGCCAAAACGGGGAGTACCTGGGCACGGCGCGGCTGCCCGCCCAGTCAGAGGGGACTTGTTACACAGCACCTGTCGGCAGTGCGGACGAGCTCACCGCCGACGACTCGTCGGTCGAAGCCGCGTCCGCCTTGCACCAGCTACCCGTACAGTACGTCAGTGTGACCAGCAGCCCGCTGGACCACTCGTACTCGCTGACCACTGGTACCACGTCTGCCGAGCTGCTGCGAAAACTGAACGAGCAGCGGGACATCATCGCCCTGATGGAGGTGAAGATGAAGGAGATGAAGGCGACCATCCGCCAGCTGCGGGTCGCCGAGGCCAAGCTGCAGGAGGAGGTGCGGGAGCGGGATAGGCTGCTGTACGGAAACTCGGTGGCTTTCAGCGTCCGGAAGAAAATCTGATGGATGAACATCACCGGAGACGACCCGTTACAGAGACTCAGACAAACGGAGATGACACCGAAGGGTTTGAAGACAGCAGATCCAGCCCTATTTTGTATAGACCTACGAGCGATGACAATTTATTTTCGAAAAGTAGAGCTGATTTTTCGTAGGCCTGATGTAAACAAGTTGGCTGCCTAGTTTATGTAGCTGATAGTAATAACCTCATTGCTAATCACATACAAACGTGCACAGTCCACTATTGGCCTGCAGCCCAACAAAGGTCAATAATACATAATTCAGTTTTTCAACCGGGACTCGTGGTCTGCACAGACTTACAGGTTAGGCGGGCTTACATATTTATAAGCGGACTGATGCTAAAAGCTGCTTAGTTGCATATAAAGTTTTTCTCCTTCAGATTTCTCTGACGTTTGAAGTTTTTATTTCCTTACTTTTGAACTGAAACTAGGAGGTTGGTGCAAGAAACCGCTCACAATAGGTTGCAGGGGTGATGTAAAGTACACCAAGCTGAAGTATCCATTGGATTTTGTGTAACCAAAACACTATTCCTCGCACACTGCTGGTGTTAGTCAGTGACATAAAACTCTACCATGACTTCATCCGAGTTGCCTTCAAAGGTAAAGTTGTTGCTAAAAACATTTGCGTGACAGAAAAAAGACTTTAGAGAATTCCTTAAAACTTGAAAGGGCACTCAAAAGATGAAATCTTATTAAAGTATGTTTCTTGAAGACATGCATTAAGTTTTTTACTGTTTTATTTTTCCTTAGGAAATCTTAGGAGAAGTACATAGAAAATTCATTTTCATGATACTTTATGCAACTTGAATATGTATGTCAGTCTCCAAGGTGGTTCTGTGAGACATTGAATTTATGTGCCTGTTTATGATCATTTTGTTTTCCTCAGACTGAAGTTTAGTGGCTGCATCTCTCTGTCCTGTTCATGACTGTTTTATGCACAGGATGATACACACATTTCAGATTTTTGAACTTGGTCTGACAGCTCTCCTCTGCTCTCATCTTGAAGTAAATTTCATTTTGAAATAGTGCCGATTCACACTGAGTAATTTCTCAACACAACAAACGTGTGCTGACTTTGTCTAGTGTCACAGTAACAAAACAGAAACAGACTATGTCAGAGGATCCTGGTATATTTCTTATTGGTTTTACCTTGGAGTTAAGGTAGGTTTGGCTCATCCCATGGGGATAAAAACTCACTGGGCTGCAGTGAATGGTTTTATTTGGACTCTTTCAAGGAAAGATGAGATAAAAATTACAATTTCTAGTACTTCCAATAAGTTCTATTGTCAAGTAGTAGGAGCACTTTTTCACCTGTGTTGAGTTGTGGAAAAGTAATAAAGTTTGTATCACATTAAATCCTCAATCATGAAGACTTGTGAATGGAACATGAACTCAAACATCAAATCTCAATGTCGATGTGCTGTTTTACACACCTGTTCAGTGACGTTTGACATGAGCTGGTGCCTAAAGCGCCATCTTAAGAAGTCGGAAAACATGAAGTGTACAACCTGTCATTTCATCTGTTTGGTTTTTTTTTTAATCGTTTTTGAAAAATTAGTTGTATATTTGGATTTTGGTGAGGCACAACAAAAGTATCAGGAAACCAATGAAGCCCAGAGGTCCCTGTTTAGGTTTCAGGATGGATTGTAATTATGGGTTAGCTGTATTATGGATTTATGCAGTGATTACTCTGTCAGATTAATTAATTCATCATTTAAACCATACCATGTACAAAATTAATTAAGAAAGTGGACATTATTTCAGAGGCTAAAATAATGTGTTTGGGTAGGCTTATCAACGCTTGAAAAACATTAGTCGTGGGTTTTTTTTCTCAAATTTGAGAAACCAGCAAGTGATTAGGTTTTAATTCATCAATCACTTAAAATAATTGATTAAAAAAATAATGGCTTCATCATCTGCTGATCATCTTGTCCACTCATTTCAGCTCTACGGTTTCAGAGTGTGTCCCCACACAGTACAGCATAAGGGATAAGATTTGACTCTCAGTAGAAACAACAAGTGGTAAAATGTGTGTTTCAATTGGCAGAGTGCACAGTCACATGTTGCAGCATGATTTTCCCCCTCTAGATGGCAGTGAGATAAAAGCTTGAAGAGCTGAGCTCCAGCTCCGGTCTATATGGCCTAATTTACTTTATCTGTCTGTCCGTGTTTGTTGGCATCTTTGATCGTAACTTGTTGAATTGTTACTCATATAAAATGTTGAATGTCATAATGAGAATCTAAATGTGTAACACAGTTCCTCAACTCACACTTAAAATATGTCATTTTAAACACCAATCATGAAAATGTGTTACATGAAACAGAGAAAGAGGGAGAGGCGGATGAATGGAAGGATAGACAGCATTGGAGAGAGCGAGGATCCAGATCCTAATCTCATCTGGATTTATTTTTTTTACTCCCAACAGTGTTGCATAATGCCTTAATCCAGGACTGTCAATCAAACTTACACAACTCCATCTTCCTTTTCTATGGCTGCTGCCATTTGCCACAGCCATCTTTACATTCAGGCCAAACAGCAGCTTCTCATGTCAGATTATCTCATTTTTAATAATGTCATGTGAAATAAGTGAAACAATGTAAGCAATCTATGATCTTGAAATACAGTGTAAAAAACAGCAAAAATCTGGATATGTGCCTGTAGAAAAAACGTTACTGTTATCTCAAATCTCATTAGGGCTTATTATTCATTGTGTTTTCATAACAATATTCTGGTTGACATGAAAATTGACATGTTTGCTTTTAAATTGGTCCATATGTTCTGAAAATATTGAACAAGAAACACTGCAATATTTTTCTCTATGTAACACACGTCATGTGCCTTTTGCAATTTAATCTGTCCATAGATCCTTCGGAGTGCTTCTCTGCTGTGGAGATCTTCACACTCTCAATCTGTCATGGTACTTGGTTGGTATTTTGGATCAAATTTCAGATAGCTTTACTTATTCTGTGGTCAAATATTTGCTGATTTAAATCAAAATCTTTGCCAGTTGCAGTGCCAGTATTTTATTGAGGTAGAGTTCTTGTGCCAGCTGCTTGTGTTTAGGCAACATTTAACAATAAAGCAAATGTTAAGGTTTTTGTTAAATTAAATAAATAGTGAAAATATATTTATGCTTTGCAAAGTAAGGCGTGGGAAAAAACAGTACTGTTAGGGTATTAGCTCCAAAAGATTTCAAACAATAGAGAATAGAGAATTTTCTCTGTCTTTTCCCGCATGTCCTGGTGCTACTGCATACACTGCATTTAAGATGGAAGCTTTAAATTGTCAACGTGTTTGCAGTAAACTGAGCATACAGCTGAGAGGTGCATTAGGCTTTCTGTGGGTGTTTGGTTTTGGCCATTAAAATTGGTTACTATTGGAAATTCATTGTAGCCACTGTGACCCAGGCGGAGCACCTTTGTTTTCCATGAGAGCATTTATAGCCACCTATGAAACACACGGGGTGAGTGCTTTCATAGTCCACAGATAGCTGTTGGTTGCAGAATCCCTGAAACTGTATGGAGATGCATTTGAGTGATCTTTACTCACCCAGTATGTCCCTACAACCTGATTTGGAATAACAAACCGATAATAAACTGTCTAATAATAAATACAATTGTTTCTGCAGATGATACCACTTTTTTGAGAAGAAAAACTTGACTGACGGAAAGTCATACGTCTGGGCTTAACAGAACCTGGGGTTCACAAGAGCACAGTGAGGTGGAAAAGTCAAGGGTCAAAACATATCCTACTTTGAGCTTCTTGTGCAATGAAACCACCAGGTAAGAAAGCCACTGGTCAGCAGGGATGTTGCTGGGAGGAGATTGATGAGTGCAGCACTGCACTGGTTTGGGATGGTAGTTAGCAGGAAGACTCTCTGACACACACCTGACAAAGTTCAATGCTTCAGCTGCAGTAAAAACATTGTATAGTGACTTGGAGTCTAAGATAACACCATTCATTATTACAGGACATTTTGATGGCTTTTTAAGGCTGTGCGACAAAGACAACATGGTAGCGTAATGATTCACAATACTCACTTACTACATGGTCAAAAAGTATGTGGACACTTGAACATTACATCCATATGTGATTGATTATTTTCCTGCTGTAACAGCCTCCACAACATTTTGGAAACATGTCTTACATCCAGCTTGATTGTTTCTGAGCAAATCTGCAAGGTGAGAACATTAAACAAAACAAACAAACAAACAAAACAAAAACAAAAACAAACAACCACCCACATTTGCTGAGCTAATACAGATGTTTTCAGGAAGACTCATGGTTTGAAATGCTGCCAAAGTAGCTCCCATGACGTATTGATTCATGGCAGCAGCCTCTGACAGACAGATTATTCTGCAGTTAATGGTTGTTTTAAGCTGCAGATTAACAATGGGTTACCATTCCTCCTGTGTCAGTATACAGATGTGAACCAGGACTTATACTAATGCACGTAGTGTGAGCCATCTGGGGGGCGTAGCAGAGGATTTGGAGGCTGAGAGGGCGAGGATGGGGATGTAAGAAAGGCGATCAAGTAAGGAAAGTGGGGAATAAGGTAGATGCTTTACAGTCACCCATCTTTAAACAGTGTGCATCTAATTTTTACTCTCACATGACCCACATAGCTTTAGATGATTCTCACATGGGCTGCTGCTATTCTCAGAGGGTGCTCTGCATCTACGCTGGACTCCCAGGTGGGATGGATTGTCTTATCCTCACTGGGACGCCATCCATCTGTCCACATGAAAAAGAATCCTCCTGACACCTATGCTAATGTTTCCTTCTACTGACATTAGTGGAAAACCTCTTGTTCAACAGTAAAACCAGGTTTGTGCAGCAGATAGATGTGTGTGAACGAGGCAGAGATGGTTCCTGAGTGCGTTGAGTGCACGATCACCATCATACTGTATGTATTTTATTACATTTTTCAAATAAATGTTCTAAATACCAAAGACCGGAAATGAGATCGTTCTAATCCAGTGTGCTGTGTTGTGATGTTGTCATTGGTCTGCTGCATCCAAGCTCTCTATGCCTCTCGCCTTGTGCCCCTCCCCAGTGTACATGCATACACACGCACACACACACACATACACACACACACACACACACACACACACACACACACACACACGCACACAACATCCTCTTACTCTCTGCAATGCATCGGTCCCTTTCACTGTTAATCCAGCCGGGTTGTGCCTCTGTGCATTGCTGTACTTTTGCAATCTGATGAATTCCCTGCGGATGGCAGGACACATCACATTCTAAAGCACAACTTTATACTCTTTGGATTCACAGCCAGCAGGAGCTTCACATCAGAGACTTTGATTCAGAGGTGGGACTCAGCTCCACGGGACTCTGCTGAGCCAAATGATGAAGTCCCGTCCGGGCACCGCAACTATGCTGCTGCCCATCGCTCTCTGTCTCGGTAAGGATGTCTTTTTACTCTCCCTTTATTGTCTGACTGTGTTGCGTGTGTGTGTGTGTGTGAGAGAGAGAGAGTATGTGCATTTAAATCTTGTGGGAAAAGTTTGATAGTGCTAGATAAAGTTTGCTTTGCCTGTCTCATTTTTAACACTGTTTTCTCATAAAGCATGTCTTTTTTTCAGCCTGACTTCAGGTAGGAACTCAGGTTGATCAGAGGAATTTCAGTGGGTTTGTCCAAGTCCAAGGTAGTTAACAGGACTGATAAAAGATATTTCACTCAGCTTATTGTGAAACCGAGGAGACAAAGGTTTTATAAATGCACTTACCTTAATGAAATGCTCACTGTCCCCTCATGTTCGGATTGTCTCTCTCTCTCTCTCTCTCTTTCTCTCTCTCTCTCGCTCTCTCTCCTTCTGTGTGTGTTGGTTGTACAACATCATGTATTTGGGTGTGAATTGTGCTATCATTTTTGAGGGTTGTAGGAGGAAGATAACACTCTAGATAGGAAAAAAAACACTACATTGAAATTTTACAATCAGAATAACCAACCATTTTGCAGGCAATCATATCATAATGAAATAAATGCCAGTAGGATAAACAATAAATTAAAAGTCATTGTACAATACAAATACAAATATTAGTAGGCAAATACAGCAGGACTAAAACAATTAAATAACACTGACAGTGACAACGTGCATGCATGATTATTCATTTCAAAGAGTAAGACATAAAGACCATGAACTGTAAAGATGATCACAGTAAAGTTTATTCTGAGAGTTGATGCAAAGGCTACCCTCTTGTTTCTACAATGTGGCAAAAAGTATGTGGACTCATCCCCTGTCCCCTTTTGGTTTTGGGCCTGTTTTTAGTTCAAATTGAGGGAAATATTAATGCTGCAATATAGAGATGTCTCTGAAAATAGTGTGCTTTCAACCTCATGGCAACAGCTTTAGATTGTGCACATCCAAAAATCTTTTGGGTGCTGGATCAAAATACAAATTAAGGGCAGAAGTCAGATAAAAGATCAGCACATTGCACTGATAGCTCCCAGTGTGTGCCAGTTCACAGTGCCAGTGCCTGATGAATATCTCTGTTGGGTCAAAACGTCCCAGCAAATCTTTAGGATTCAGAGAACACCATTTCCTGTTTCAACGTGACAGCGCCATAAACAAGGTCCATGAAGAAGTAGTTTTCCCAGTTTGTGGTGGATGAACATCCGACTCATCCAGCCTGCACAGAGCCCTGACCTCAACCTCATCCAAGTCGTTGGGGATGAACTTGAACACAAACCACCCTGCAGGCACGCAGCTGGCCACCGTCATTAGATGTTGATATTGGTTGAAGGTAGATTGTGACATCGGGTGACCAAATTTCATCGTCATTCTCTAATACCAAGAGAAATTTGATGTAGACTACTGACGACGGCTCACGTTGATATTTTGTTGGTTTGATGTTGTGTTGTTGGGTAACCAAAATCCAAACATCACATACCAATATCATCTTGACATATAACAATTAAGATTAATGTCCATGATTTGAGGTGTTTAACAGTCACATATATTCAGGTGTCCACATACTTTGGACATTTAGTGCACTTTTGATCCTGGAGCAGCTTAACCAAGGCTGCTGACAACTGTCATTTTCCAGAGACAACAAAGCAACTGTATGGGCCCAATGCACAGGGGGAAATCTCACTCAAACCTACTTTCATCAGAAATCCTCTTTTTCAAATCAGTGTTTAAATATTCCAGTCAAACCTTACATCTCAGCTTTTCAGGATCTATTCAGTGAAAACTAAAAACCAATTTCAGAGGAATGTGTTATGTATGAGCTGATCTATGCACTCAGACGAGCTCACACATGGTTTTGAGGTCCTACACTGAATTTGGCTTTGAGGATGTATAATCCCTCCAGATGAATGGAATACAACATATTTCTGTATTTGTTTGATCCGACTAAGCACCGGATGGATCATGCCATAAACATTGTGTTTCACTCTACAAGATTGAAGTGATTTTATTTCTCTCTCTCTCTCATCCCCAATGTTTAAATAAACACATACTGTGTTTACAGAGTCCTCATATAAATATTCACTTATTTATACAAGTTCTGATAAAACTATGTGGATGTGGTGTTCAAACATAGTTTTCTCTTGTCTTTTCCTCCCCACCAGGCTTGGTCCCCGCGTCTTTCGGAGCTGCAGTTCCTGTTTCATGTGGCTCCATCTACAAGAGTTTTGCTCAGTGTTTACTCACGCTTGGGGACAGTTTGGTGGAAACACAAAAAGACCAGAGCACACAGGACATTGATGCAATCTGCAGGTAGGTGTGTGTGTGTGTGTGTGTGTGTGTGTGTGTGTGTGTGTGTGTGTGTGTGTGTGTGTGTGTGTGTGTTTGTGTGTGTGTGTGTGTCTGTCTACCACTGTGGTAACCACCCAGTCACACCTTGTCTGATACAACTTGTTTCAAATTGTTAAAGTTGTAATCCTTAAAGCGGCTCTATTTCGTAATTCTTGTGTTATTAGCGTTAGCAATGTGGCAATAACACAGTGCCAGTCCTTGTCGGTCTGTTTGTCAGTCCACCACTTTGGTCCAGACTGAATTATCTCGACAACCGTTGGTCACCAGAGGATGGATTCTACTCGTTCTGGTGATCCTCTGACCTTTCCTGTAGATCCACTGTGAGTTGGACATTTTTTGGCTTTTAGTGGATGGTTGAAATTCTTATGACTGAACACATGCAAAACTAATCACATTCCCATCAGCCTCAACTGTATTTTTCCGATTCGTGCAATTAGCAAATGCTAACATGCTAACACACTAAACTAAGGATGGTGCAAATGTTAAATGTTATACCTGCTACAACATCACCCTGTTAGCATTGTCACTGTGAGCATGTTAGTATTTAGCTCAACCTCACAGAGCTCTTGCATAGCTGTAAACTCTCAGCCTTGTTATATCCACACTGGATGTTAATGTGCGCTCGTAGTGACAAACCTACAGTGAATCATATCCCCGAGTGACCCTGAGATGTCCACAGGGGTTTCTGGCCTGCAACGTTACTGTTTCGGTTCAGACTCTTCGGTCTCATCAGCGTCATGTTCACATGCAGCAGCTCAACTGTTTGCAGAGAACACATCTTCTCTTCTCCACTAAAAAAAAAAAATGATGCAATTACACAAGCTTTCCTTCTGTTGCAATTCTGTCACAGTACCTGCACCATGTTTACTCCCCCCAAATGCAACCTGTATCTTTAAATACCTTACTTTAAAGAGCACTTTAACATCATATTATTTCGCTGCCCTCTCCCAAGTCTGTTTCTGTTGGATGTAGTCAGAGGTGTGCTCTGTTGCACCTGCAACCACATCCCACAGGGTCCTGCAGTACATCACTGCAGCAACATGAAGGGTTAAACCACTGAACCAATTACTCTTCAACCTCTGCTCAGGTGTTAACTGTATATAATCTCATCGCTGTATTATTGTAGTTTTCTTTCCACATGCTTTCTTGGAGAAAGATGCATTGCAGCCACTATATTACTACACTTTACACTGACATCTCTTCCTGTCCCGGTTCCTTGAAGGTCCTGGAATGCGTTCCATGTGTGTGCTAACTCAGCTCTGGTCGGATGTCCCGGAGAGCCAGCAGCCGTCTGGGAGTCTCTAAGACAAGAGTCCCGGAAGACGCAGTTTTCTGGAAACCTGTACGACATGTGTGCCAGCCGCACCACCCTCCCACCCAGCACTGTGCCTGCACCCCAGAGCCCCCCCACCTCCGACCAGACCAACCAGGAAACACTGAAAGGGCAAACATACAAGCACAGCCCGGCCCTCAGCACACTCTTGCTCCCTGTGTGCAGCACGCTACTGGTTCTGCTCAGGAGTTAGTCAGCTGATCAACCAATGAGCTGGTCATCACAGAGTCCTCCACCCCCTATGGTCCAAACACGCAAGGGTAAACATGCTTCACAAATCAGACTTGTCGTGATTACATATCGATCCTTAAATCAGGATTTCAGATGGATCATAATGAAGTATTTGGTTCTGTGTTTCTTACATGGACAAGGAGGTATATCTACTATATTTAGACATTAACTGATCAGATCATTACTGTAATGATTTTATATGCCTCGCCCTCAGAGAGGACAAAAAGGGCATAAATATTTAGATTATCCATACTGGTTTTTGCTAAAAAATGACACTTTCATAGACACGAGGACTGCACATATACAGTCCAAGTGTTAAATTAAATTTATGTCATGCACTATTGCTTGTTTATGCTATTTCTGTCTGGAGTAGCAAAGAGTTTAATCCAGGGAGAGAAGAGGAAGGCCCTCCTATTACTGAGTTCTCTTAACTGAGAGAAAAACCTTGCCAATAAGCTCATAGTAATAGTACACACCTCAATTTTTTATCATTACTACAGTAAATCAGTAATACAGGGTGATTTTTAGGACAAGAGAGAGTTGAGCGATTTTTTTAATGGCAGGCGGTCAGATCTGTGATCCAATCAGGTGTGACCCAGAGGAGAGTATTATTACAAAGGGCAAAACAGTGTCTTAGTGCAGATGGCTTAATTCATCACCGTGTATGACTGGTTTAAGGTCAGAAAATTAGATTTGTGTGCGGAAGGATTCTTTGCAGTGTGTGCATGTTGTTGCTAAATTTTTATCACTTGTTTAAAGCTGTGTCATTTCATGTGACTCCTCTCTGGTTTTCCCGTTCTTTTCAAGAAGTCACACTGTATGTTGCTTTTTCTACTCTGAACTGCTGGTTACAGTAAAGCTTTACTTTAATCAGTTAAATAACTTTAGGCATCCCCTGTGGGCCAAATAAAAAGGCAAGGCAAATTTATTTGTATAGCACATTATCATACAGGGAGGTCATTCAATGTGCTTAACAATGTGCTTCAAAAGAATACATGGCAGAGAACCAAATAATAGAATAAATAATAAAAAGTATTAAAAGTATGAAGACAGTACATGCTAAGTGCATATCTCAGTGGTGGGAAGAAGATAAGTGTTTCCCAGATTTCATCCCAAGAACATTAACAGTTGCTGTAATGTTATTTAATGTTGTATAACTGTTCTTTGATACTGAGCCAGTCCACTGCATTTTATTCACTGGTTTTCACATTATCAACATATTTGCTGTTTAATTTTCTGGTTTTGTTTTTGGTTATTTGCATTATTCAATTTTTTCTTCACTGCATTGAGTGGCACATGCCTTCTTTGTTTCACTCTGATTTTTAACCCAACAAAAAATTAAATTCAAAAGTGTGTTGACAGACACAATGCAGAGTTTTGTCCCTTAAACCGCAACTATTGCTTTTCTTGAAGTTGTGTGTTTCTGTGTCGGTTTTGTGTGTAATCTTAATACTCTTAAGCTGTTTCATAACAGCCGAATCATGACTAGATTAATCTCATCTGTCTTTATTCATCCACAGCGTAGCAGGTTGCACCTCGAAAACCCTTGAAAACAGTGCCTCAGAGCCTGGAGGGTAAATACTGTGAATGGAAAATGACTGATAATGATTGGCTGTGTGGCACCAATGTGCCATGACGTGTGACTTGATGAACATGATATGAGCAGATGTGACAACTGAAGGTCAGAGGTGATAACTTCATTACTGCAGCATGCTGAATTTAAGAAGTTATTGCAGCGGTCACTGAAACCTCAGGTGGAACGTCCTGCTTTATATTCTTGTTACACTGATTTAATGCCAGGTCACCACCAGGCAGGATTAATGGCTGATTTGAATAGTGCTGGTTCATACACTTCCCAGCTTTAGGCTTGTACAGCTGATCCAGTCGCAGTTTGCACATGACCGTGCTATCTGACTCTTGTTTTGAGCTGAAATCAATCAGACTGAATGTCAAAAGTCTCTGGTTTTGTCTACTTTTTGCTAACAGACTACACATTTAAAATCCAGATTATAACCCTGATTTGGCCTCGACTACTGATTTTCAATACTGTGTACAGTCTGCACAAAACATGGCAGGTCACCACGGAGACAGAGAGAGGGATTCAAATCTGACTGAGCCTCAGTCAGAGCTCCCATGCAGGATGGATTTTTGAATATGAAACCTGACAATAAAAAAAACTATATGAAGGTGTTGTTATGGTTTCAGTAGAAATTTGAAGGCAGATTTTGTAAAAGTGCACTTTTACAGTAGGTGTTTCGATATATTTTTCTAACAACAATAAAGCTAATTAAAGGCAATTAATTAAATAATTATTAGCCCAGGTTCATTCAGGTCTCTGAACTGAATTAAGTTATTCACTTCAAACAGAATCAGATGAAACAAAATCACAATTCAGTCTGATTATTGGGCTAAATTATTATTAAAAACATAATGTAATAGGTGTGCCAGAAAAAAAATCTAATACATGTACATTTCATTAAAAAACAGCCCAGTGTTGCTCTCTTTACATCTTTTTTATGATAGTCTATCACTTCAACATCATTTTGTAATGTCATGTCATGATGATCATCATCTTGTTTTTATTCTAGTTTAACTTCATTAAAAATTAATAAGGCCTTTTTCTTTACTTTTTTTAAAGAGTGAAATCCTGAGATATTTCCGAAAACAGCACACGCCTGGAGGATCAGCTACAAAGTCTTTGAACTGTCCCCAGAACACCTTGGCTCACTTTAATCTCTCTTTGTCCTGTATTTCACTCCAGAAAATCGGCAACATCACCATGAAATCTTTTTAAGGTGCTCCAAAGCCCTCACAGTTTGCACCCATTTGTTGAAATGGTTAAGATACAGCAAAGGTTTTTTTTTTTTTTTTCTTAACAAAGGGACCTCATCCTCTCTGAAAGTGTGTGAGATGGAGAGCAACATTCATGGGATTTTGAGCAGTGCACTCTGCTCTGTGACAGATGGTGTGTACCATATAATATGGCTGGGATTATGAATTCCATGGGTAGTAGATTGTACGATCAAATATACATGACCAGGACTTAATTTTACCACAAAATAAACAAATGCTGCAAACCACACTGCCCAGAAACTCTTCATATGATTCTGCGAATCCATGAAATAAATATTATAAATAAATGAATATACAATCTATCTAGTGGCTACAAGGAACTGGAAAGGCAGCACTAAGACTCCGAACAGGGTGTTCAGCTTGTAAACCAAAGGTATGCTTAGTAATTTCAGGCTGTAAATAAAATGATCTTAACTAACTTTATTTTTAGCGTGCTATTTAGCTGCTGGAGAGTTGAAAACAGTGCATAGCTACACCAGTAGTATAGAGGCTTAATATTTGTTACTACACATCACATTATTCCACATACATGCTACCTTACCTTTTGTCTCTGCTGTTATTCTCCCGTTTGACCACATCTGTGTTACTAGGCCTAAATCATCTACAACCAACCTGAAATAAATAAAATTTAACAAGTTAAATGTATAACTTATTCTCAGAAGGAAGCTAGCCTCAGACTGGACTCAACCTAAAGACAGGAAAGAGGGGGTATGACATGTCTTGGCCAGAATAAAATTGATTTAAACATTTTTTTTAAACGGCCTCTGTGTTAATATAGAATATGTTTGTTTGTGGTTACATGTTGCATATTCTCAATTAATTAAAAGTAGACCCTGTAGACCCCCTGCTGGTAAATCCCGGTTATTGGACACGTTGTAGCCTACATGCGTGCATTTTTCTTACTAGCCTTATGTTTTTAGATGGCTTATTTATTCATGGCAGAGCCACTTTTGGAGCCTTATGTTATAATAGCTTATAATATGTTATTTTATTGGCTTAGCAGTAGGCTAATACTTCATTAGTGCTGTATATCAGACATACAACATAAAGTGGGAGAGGGAGAGCGGACACAAGCAAACATACTCACTTTAGTGTCAAATTTATCACCTGAGAGTGAAATGTTTAATAGTCAAAAAATCCAGTCAGACCACGTGAGTCGTGGGTGCAGGTCTATATATTTGCATGGCTGCCCACTCACCGGGTTTAAAACTTGAAAAAGAGCAGAATGAACCAAACACCAGGGCTTCTTTGGAGAATTTAGTTGCACACTGAATCTTTGTAGAAGAGCAGCTGTTAGACCTTCCAGCCCCGGTTTTGTGCCTCTCGGAGCTGGTACAGGATCATGGAGGAACTGGCGCGGGAGAGCATCAGCCTGCTGGCCCGGTCTGCGTCTCACGCGGATCCTCCGCGGCTCGGCTCGTTCGGCGCGGTGTTCATCATGCTGAAGTCTGCGCTGGGAGCCGGACTCCTCAACTTCCCCTGGGCTTTCCAGAAGGCGGGGGGAGTGAATACAGCCGTCGCTGTGGAGATGGTGAGTACAGAGTCAGACACCTGCAGAAATAACCCGCTCCTGGCAATACTATATCATTTAGGAAAAACGTTCATAGTGTATACAGCTACACGGCCTCATCAATGCATCAATAATATGCTTATGGAACAATTAGGAACCTTTGACGCTAGTTTTATTGGCGTGTAACTTTAAATCTCGAGCTGTTCAGGGGGTTTAATGCGGTTAGTTTTGTGTATGCACACTATAGACTCAGCACTCTCCCGTCTCTCCTTGGTGTGAAAGAGGCTCATCTTTTTCACAGGTGAGCTCTAATGAAGCTTCCAGTTTTGGTGAGGACCTGAACTTTCGTTGCACTGCATCTATTGACTGCCACAAAAAATGTGTGTGTGTCTCATGGATGGATAGCCACATGGGCTTTCCAAGAATGGGCCCAGGGGCCCAAGAGGTCCTGGGGTTGAGGTTGGGGGGGGGAGGGGGAGCGCGGGGGGGGGGGGGGGGCTCTGTTTGAAGTGATCATTCTTTTTGGAAAGTCAGAGAGCTTGTTTTGCTCTTGATCCCAATTCAAGTCATTTTCTGAGCAAATATTTATTTGTATTTTTTTTTTGTTTTTCTTTTTTTGTTTTTTTGTTTTTTACAAGTAAAAAGTACCGTGATGGCGTACAAATTTGTACTATGGGCTACACCTACATTAAGATTGGTAGCACAATCAGAAACATATGTAGGAAAATCTAATCTGTCTAATAATCTGTGTGCCAATATCAGCTCGGTCTGTGAATGGATATTAAGGTTGAGCTCCTCTCCTCGGTGCCCCGGCAGGTATCCCTGGTATTCCTCATCAGTGGTCTGGTCATCCTTGGCTATGCCTCGTCTGTCAGCAGACAGAAAACCTATCAGGATGTCGTGAGCGAGGTGTGTGGACGAGCCGTGGGTCAACTCTGCGAGATTTGTTTCTGCTTCAACCTCTTCATGATATGTGTTGCCTTCCTGGTGGTGGTGCAGGACCAGCTGGAGAAATGTAAGAACCAGAATAACCATGAATTATGTTATTTCATAGCATCGGTCATTGTTTACAACAGACTGTGTTGTTCATGCTTATAGTTTACACACTTCTTTTTTAACATCCAAACTCTCTCTTCCTCCTGTGAGTGTGTTGGACGTGCTCACTGCTTCATACTTATGCTTATTCATCATCACGTAGACGTTGGGTGGATTAAAACCTACAGTATCAATGCTACTGATATGTAGTCTTGAGTATCAATACTGGTGTTAGTAGGATAGATACCAACAAAACTAGGGCAAAACCTGTATGGCTGGACTGTGTATGGTCAATGTGTAAAATTGAGGATGTAGTCTAAAACTGAAAAGTTTGTGAATTTAAACTTAAATCTGGTGACAAAGGTGTTAATTTAGCAACACTGCCTGTAAACGCCCCCCTGATGATGTAATCAATACTGTATGTGTATGTACACAATCAAACGTTACGAAGCCATAAAAACTCAAGAGCACAAAAAAACCATCCACAACTGTGTTAGTAACAGGTGTTCACATGTGGCCCACCGTACAGAGCAGGTTCTGGACATGAGGTCAGCCAATAGAAAAGGGCCAGTTTACAACACTGTGGAGGTTATATCTCTGTATGAAACACCAAGTGTTACTGTAGATTACATTTAAAGTCCTAAAGCCAATTAATCTGCCAGGTATGCCTTAGTGTTGACTTTGAACCAGTCCACTCATGAGTCCAAGAAGCAGGGACAACACTAAATGAGGGTCTCATTGAAGGTTTGTAGATTGCATTATCAAGACAAGGGCACTTACCAAAGTAAAAGTTACATCAAGCTCCATATTGTCCCAAAACCTTTGTGCACATTAGTCGTAAATAGTATGTGAGTCCCATCTTTGGTCAAGTGTAGGCAACAGAAGTACTTTGGTTAAGGTTAGGGAAAGATTGTGGTCCTTTTTGAAACAGAAAAGTCACTTCAGACACCACATGTCATTTAACCAAGACCACGATCTTTCCTGAACCTTAACCTGTGTACTCTGTAAAAAAGTTTAATAATGCTGATATCACAACAACAGGATATTGTACTGCAAGATCAGATACTTTAGAGGAAAACAAATACGATGCCTGGGATTATTTTTCCCCAAAGAGTTTCCTCCAAAACTGTTAGCTGTCGCAGTTTTGTCGTATATAATCATGGTTTCTAGGAGACAGGGTTTCAGTGAAGAATAATACAATCATTTTTAGCATAAACTGCTTTGCAGATTGATTTACGTCAGCATAGACAGAAACATAAATTACTAAATACAAATATGTGCTTGACGGGGGTTAGCGTTCCTGTTAGAGACAAACATGATAGTGTACCAGCTCACATCACCATCCTCCTCATGCCATCTGTTAATCATCAAGCACTGCTCCCTTTGCACTCAGCATTTGTTTCTGCAGCGTTTGAATGTTTTCATGTTATCAAGGCACTCGACTGAGTTTGTGATCAATTTAGCAGCCATTCCCATATCAAAAAATTAATCTCTCTCAGACCATGAATCATCCGCACTTTAATATTCATTCTAGCTACCACTCGGGTAAACATGTGACTGGGAGCAGTAATGCATCCCCTTTTCATTTTAACTTTGTCATTTTGTTGTTGTGAAACCCTTCAAATCCTTTTAATGTTTCTGCTCTGTTCCAGTTTTAACCAGATCATTTGATTGGATTTTCAAACACACCCAAAAAAAAAAAAAACAACCCCCCCCCAAAAAAAACAAAACAAAAAGCAACAAAATAAATAAACAAACAACAAAACAATAAACACTTGATCAGGAACAGGAAGCTATAGAAACACACAGGTAGCAGGCATGCAGGGAAACAAGCTGGGACTTAAGCAGACGATCTGACAAGGAGCTGGTGGAAATGGCTGTTGTTTTTTTTACTGGCTGGGATCATGAGAAAACTGGGAGCAGGCGTGTGAGTGGGCAGGGAAGCTCACGTGAGTGAGAATGGGAGACAAGTGAGCAGGTGGATCTATCGTTCAGGTGACTGACACAGGGAGGAAAGTCTGAGGACATCTGGTGGGCGGAGGGAGAGCGGCAGGGCAGGACAGTGACAGTAAGGATGGTGAGGGCCAGAGGAGGGAACAAGAGAGTCCAGAGACGAACCGTGACGGAGAAATCTGAAGGGACAAACGCTTTAAACACATTCACAGGACTATTATGTTCGTCATATTCTATATGGTCATCCACCAGCATTAAACCGTTTATCTCAAAGTCATAAACCACGCTGTTCAGCAGGAAGCAAGGTGTAAATTAATCTTTTGTAAGTATATGTAGCTGTGTAAGTTTTGGTGAGTGGTCTTCTATGTTGTCGTGCTGTATACTGATGCCTTCACGTTGCAGCAGATAAATAATGTTGATTTTGACTCTGCTTTTGTGTCTCCAGTGTGTATTTCTTTGTATGAGACGGTGACTGGGTCGAGTGAGGGAGAAATACCGTATCACTGGTACACTGACCAACGATTTGCCCTCTTCGTCATGTGCCTCGTCATCATCCTACCACTGTCCATCCCAAAAGAGATCGGCATCCAGAAGTACACGAGGTACACAACCTTTAGCTGTAGTCAGAATCATCCAGCTCAGACATCATGCGGACTGTACTTCTTTTTAATTTTTGTGACTGAACTTGTTTCCTCCTCCCGTTAGTGTGCTGGGGACGCTGGCTGCTACGTATCTGTGTGTAGCAGTGATTGTCAAATATTACCTGATGGAGAGCCACACAGTGATAATAACTCCAGAGCACAGCCAAGGGTCAGTAACCCTGGTTTTTAATGGATGCATGCGTGTACTTAACACTGGCTCTTCACTTAATATGCATCAGTAACTGTCTGTGTGTGTGTGTGTTCTGTGTTTTTCAGTGTAAGTTCATGGGCATCGATGTTTAGTGTCGTGCCAACCATCTGCTTTGGCTTCCAGGTAGGATCATAGAAGAGATCACATACACAATATGCATGATGTTCAAGTGAGTTGAAGTGGAAAGAAATGTGGGATCAATATCACACCACTAAACAAGCATGTGGAGCATGTGGAAATGTAACTTTCACGTAGTGCTTTTGTCTGACTGCTGACTCTGACTTCCTGTCACATTATGACTGGCTGAGGTTTGCTAGGTTAAGCTCACGACATACTCATGAGAAAGGCATCGTTGAATTAGTCAGGAGAAATATTAGAAGTAGGAACCCCCCCCCCCCCCATAATGAAACATTCTCATTAATCTGTGTGTCTGCCTGCATTTGAAGTGCCATGAAGCTTGTATAGCAATCTATAGCAGCATGGAGAACCAGAAGCTCTCCCACTGGGTGCTCATCTCTGTTGTCTCCATGTTCTTCTGTTTGCTCATCTACACTCTGACCGGTGAGTTCACCCCTAAAACATACATTTCAGTTCAATGTGGCCTCACCTGAAAGCTGCTTATCATATCCACTCTCTCCATCTCCAGGTGTGTATGGCTTCATGACGTTTGGACGAGCTGTCGCCTCAGATATCTTGATGTCGTATCCAGGAAATGACGTGGTCATGATCATTTCCAGACTCCTTTTTGGAATATCGATTATCACCATCTATCCTATAATTCTACTCCTGGGGAGGTGAGTGACACCAGAGTTGAGTTGTTTTGTATAATTGGTGTAATTGGTTATGTATGTGTGTCTTTTAACATGTTGTCTCCCTGTTGTGTGTGGGACAGATCGGTCATCCTGAACCTGATGTTACGAATTCAAAGGCGTCGCCGGGGAATCGTCACTCATTCGTTTGAGAGTCGCTGCAGAGTCGTTCTCACTGTGATCTGGATCACCATCACTCTTCTCATCGCCATGTACGTCCCTGACATGGGCGAGGTGATCGGTGTCATCGGAGGAATCAGCGCCTTCTTCATCTTTATCTTTCCTGGTATGAAAACAACCTTAACTTCGAGATGTATGTGTGTGTTTGTGTGTGGACATGAATGTGTATTTATACATTCATATTCAGACTCTTATTATTAGCTTGTCAGTCAACTGTAGAGCATCTGAATTGCACTAGAATTGCAACTAATGAGTATTTTCATTATCAATTAATATGCCAATTACTTTTTTGATGGACTGATTAATCATTTGCTCCACAACATGACAGCAAATAGAAAAAAAAGTCCATCCCAAGCCCAAATGTCTTATTTTGTTCAACTGACACTACAAAACCCAAATGTTTACTGTCATAGAGGACTAAGAAAACAAGAAAATATTTACATTAACAAGCTGGAGGCTATGACTTTTTTTATTTTTGATCGATTAATGAACTCATCGTTTCGCTCCTAAATTCGCCTAACCTATATGGAAGGTGCGACAACACAAATAAAGTTTGATTGGTTTGAAGTTTTGTGTGTGTGTTTGTCTGTTGCAGGTCTTTGCTTGGTGTTCATAATGCAAACAGAAACTGTGACTCCAAGAATCAGGTGAGCAAGAATCAGTTTGGCAACTATTTATTTTACACATCCATAATTTCTGAATTACTTCCTAGTAATTTCACAGACATTTTCTGAAAAGAATGATGCAATTTGTTACTAATTGTGAGGAAAATAGAGACAGTGCACAGCTGGTATACTTCCTAATAATTAATTAACATCAAATTAACTGCCAGTGTAACCTGAGACAGTCACTAAGATGGCTCATAGCAGGTGAGTTTCAACTTTGGTTTAAATGGAGATTTCCTTTCAGGGAAATATTTTCCTGATAATTAATCCAGGAACATTCCTTGGGGATTATTAGAAAACTCATAAAATAAAGTGTTACTGTTTTTTTCTTTCTTTTTATATTAAACCATAAACAAACAGAGAGGGGAGGTAAGAAAAACCTCCCGCTGGTCATACAAACATGGCAATGAGGACATGTCTCGCAGAGTAACAATAACAAAAATAATGCAAGTTATCAGTTCACATGCAATCTGGTCCCAGTCCACAAAGTCCTCCTTTTAGAGTCTGGATAACATCGTCTTTCAAAAGGGACTGAAAACATATTGAATATTTTGTAGAAATCAAATGATTTCTTTGATTTGATGAATGATTAGGAATTACTGTTATGCAGAAGATTCATATTGTTGATGGTTTTTTTTTCATTCATGGCAGGGTGATTTTAACAGTTTGGGGAGTCATAACCATTGTAGTTGGAGCCTTCATCTTTGGACAGAGTACAACCATCGCTATCATGGAGCTTTTTTACAAATTCTGAATTTCACCACCATTATCACCACTATCTGGAGCAGCTGCTTCACTGTGACGCTCATCTCTTTTTGCACAACTGAATGTTGCATTTGTAAAGGTCATTTTTAGTTGTACATGTGACCTTTATGCAGTGGCCTTGATATAAAATACATTTACTATGTGAGACTGTAATATTCTCATTTGTGTGATGCATAAATATCGGATTCGAATGGATTTTTTCAGTTGACAGTCATATTAAGTCACATAAAAGCCTGTCAAACATATTTAATTGTTAAGTGTGTATAGAAAAAAAGAGCATCTATGTTTGAATGTATGTATTTTATTGCTTTATTTTGTTTGCTTTATCAATAATATATCTACAATATATTGTCTGTTTGAGACTTAATTTGTATTTGCAAAGCACGACCAGGGGGCAGTATAACACCACTGAGGAATTATTTATTTATTTATGTACATAGTTATCCGTTATGTTATGTGTGGAACTGCATATTGGAAACACAGATAATAGAAAAATCAGTTCTTATCATGGCCATTATTCTCCCAGTGATTGTTTTGAAATGAGATTGCCATGTCTACGTGAACAAAGAAAAAATACTTTTTAATTTAAACAGATAGATTCATTGTCCTTGAAACGTGTGTCTACATTTATGATAAAATTCTTTGAAGTACATTATTCTTATCCCTTTCTCAGCATTTCTCAGCTCTATTTTTCCGCTGACCTCCAAATGGCCAGAGTCATATGAGTGATACAAATCTGCAGCTTTCATTGAGCTCAGAGAGATGGCTGGAGTATGCTGAAAATCACTGTTTATTGTTTATTGACTTCAAGCTTAAAGGAGTTATGGCACACTGCCTGCGAGCATGCACATGCTTACACATGTGTGTGAGTGTATGAGTGAGTAATGATTTACATTAAATGCAGAAAAAGGGGCGTCGTATCTGGGCCTGGAGGGGTCTGCTTAAAGGCGACAAATCAGCCATGCTAACTTCACAGAAATGTAGGAGGCTTGCATACTCCACTTATCTGTGTGAACACACATACAGTGATTCAGAACTTCATTCAAAAATAGACCATCTAGAAACACACAGCAGCTCCTTATCAGCGCTTCAGTTATGTAATAGGTTTTTTTTCATCTCGTGCAGTGTTAATGTCCTTAAGGGAAAACCTCAAACTGTGATACTCTACTTGTGTTTAGCCCTTGGGATTATATATCAACCTTCTGGCCATATGATTAAATCCACTAAATGCAGGGAAAAGAAATCACTGAAAATCATACAAACCACAAACTCCACATGTTTGTAAAGGCAACTCAGCAGTCCTGGGAAATAAAGCTACCACACACACACATATGGCATACAGCTATCAAGATCTTAGCATGTCAATTTGTTGTTTGTTTAACCTCCAAAAATGGAAGAATGCCCCACCTTTCACAGTAATGAGTTCACAAAGCCATTGTTTCATGTCATACCAAAACAGACAAAACAAAACTAAGAGTCTACAGCCATGCGAGCTGAAGCTGTACTTTGTGCTTTGAGCTGCATGCTAATGCTAGTATGCAAACATGTTTACCATGTTAGCATACTAGCATTTGCTAATTGTGTAGCGTTTAGCAGATGTTTCTACCAGCTGAGGCTGATGGGAATATCATTAGTTTTACAAGTATTTGATTATAAACAAAAGAATAGAATAGAGTAGAAAACAAACAGAAATTTTGACTTGATAGTTGCACTAGAGGATAAGTTGGTTATTACACTTCACCCTGCCGGAAACATGAATATCTCACATTTTATGACAATCCATCCAATTGTACTAGTTGTTGAGGTATTTCAGTCTGGACCAAACCGACCAACTGACTGATGCTGCCATTACTAGTACGACGCCGCTAGCATGGCTAAAATCATCCATTATTCTCTGCATTACAGTATCTTTTCATTTTCCTCGGCCTCTGAAAACTCATTTCCAGTCCTCATTATTATGCTGTCCCCTGTAGCCACTTTGTTATTGAAAGATTACTTGTAATGTAGGCTTCTCGCGGTGCTAATTAATGCAATGGCAATTTGTGTCGACGGCTCTTTTAAACGTTTAATTGTTCCTGATAAGAGCATCAGCAAAACGCTTGAATGAGAAGGGACAGCTGCATGTTATTTCTGTTATTGCGTGTGTGTGTGTGTGTGTGTGTGTGTGTGCATGCGTGCGTGTATGTGTGTGTGTGTGGTTGTGACTGTGGTTTCCATCACTGTCACGCGGATTGAAATCTGCTTTTTGTGTTAACAATAGGGGAAAAAAGAGTTTCTGTCAGCTTTATGACCGTCTGTGTCTTTCTCCATACCAAATATGTTTCTGTGACTGTGAATGTCTAACACTGTACTGTATGTATAACATGGTCGTGTGCATGTATGTGTATGACCTTATTTTCTATGCATCAAGGTTATGACCAGCAGGCAGAAATCATCATGATGGAGATAACATGCATCCATCACTCTGCTGCTCGGCCTTTATTGAAGCGCTGACAGCAGATCTTTGACCTCCGGGCTGAACTCTGTGGGATAATCGCTGCAGTGGCAATGAGCTCAGGTGAAGGAGAGGCCCCTGTCACCTTGTATGTGTGTGAGTGCAGCAAATAAAAATTAATTCGTACAGTGTTTGTGATACAATAAGTGCACTAATGTTGATCTTTTTCACTATGTTCTTTAAATCTTTTTTACTCTACTGAATAGTTGACTGTGTTTTATTTAGAGACAAATGTTATGTGAATAAGCCATAATGACAAAATTGCATGTTGACTAAAAATCTTTATCTACTTTAACAATTTTCATTTATTTCACTTTAATGTAAAAGAAGTTTAGTTCATCTGAAATTGGCATATTTTTGGTGAAATATGTGTGAAAATAATGAGAAGATCTTTTATATTTCACACCTTTTGATAGATGTGTTTCTTTTGAAAACATAATTTCTCAAAGCATCATCATAAAAACACGCAGTGAAACTGAACGCAAGCAGATAGATCTACAAAAGTCAAGAAACCTTGTTAATTACATCTATTACAATCATTAGATGTGGTGCACGTTTGGCTCAGTGGCGTGTGGTGGCTTTTTCAGACAGGCTAGTAGTATGTCTTGACAATGGTGTTTTGAAACTAATGCTAATGCTAACAGTTGTGTATGTGTGCAATATCATTTTTGTTACATATCCAATGTAAGCATTTACAACTATGTACTTACCAGTCTAGAAGAAACATTGCGAGTTCAGCATCACCTGATTTTTCAACCTGGAGAAGGTGGACAGCTTCTTCTTTTGTTCAAGGGACCTGGTGGTGAATCTTGACTCCAGCATCACTGAGCTGGTACAGAGGTTCAGTAAAGAAACATTTTATTTGAGATACAAGTAGACCCTATTACAGTATACTATACCGTTGTTTTATTCTGGATATCAGCAGATACAGAAATCAGTGTGGCAAATATACAGGATCTGCAGTGATGAAATGTGTGAGAGTGTGAAGCTAACTGTCTTCCCTAGATGATGACTTGCTATTCTGTGGTGCGCTTCAACAGCCCTTTAGGCTTCACAGCTCACTCTGGTAAGTGTTTGGCAGTCACATAGTGTATGTTGAAGTCAAACCTCAAGGTTTAAGAAGACGCTACCTCTTCAGATGTACCATTACCAAGTGTGTCCTCTCCTCTTAGGCATTTACATCTGTGACAGTGCTCACCAGAAACATAAATCTGGTGATGTGACAGACCGTCGGTTCACTTATAATGACAAGCACCTCATTGAGACAACTGGTACATCTGTGTGTCACCAGCAGCGATGAACGGCATACCTGCTGTTCTACTAAAAACAGGTAAGAGAACAGCTCTATATCCAATGTGTTGAGCAACTTTCCCATAGAGTACTGAATTATTTATAAAGTCCATTTGCTCATGAGTGTTGTTTCCCTTTTTTTAGCAGTAGAAAAGTCTCATGGTGAAGGAAGCGGACCTGCAGCATTGGAGGCAGCACAAAGACAACAAAGATTATGGGCAGCTTAGAGCCCTCTAACAACTGCTGCTGAAAGAAAATACATTTAAAAAAAGCTTCACAGTCAAATCAAGAAGTTTAAATATATTCATCCAATATCAATATATATAAAAAAAACCCAGCATTTTACAATTACAATATTTTGTATCCTCCTCCTGATTTAAGAGAACTACCCTGCTGCTATTTAAAACACTAACTCTGCCGTTATCCATGTTTGTTTCCTTATCAGCTGTGAAAGTGAGAGGGGGAGATGGACCTGAACGACAAGCAGATCAATCAGCACAGACCGTTGCAGTATTTTGGTAACGGAAATAAACTGGTGTTTTACAACAACTCCATCATGTTATGTTGAAAATAAAACTTTTTGTAAGTTGATGAAGTGACAACAATAACCCACATGAAGAGTAGTACAATACAAAGCTTAAAGGGGGTGGTGAAGTGAGCAGCACTGTTGGCAGGAGCAAAAAAAGAGCAAAATGTTAATGAAAAAGAGCCACAATGAGCTCTGGAAAGTTCAATAAAAATAACATGTGAAATGCCATTTGGATGTCATGAGGCGAGGAGGCGTCATAAACTGCATGAACTGGGCAAAGTTAATGAGTGCTTTTCTTTTCTCCACCACTCTGTGCACACTTATGAATAAATGTGCCATTTCTATGCTTTATTGAATACATATCAACCCAACTATTGATTACATGGACATCACAGTTTCCTTCAACACTACTGGGTGCTGAGGAAGAGATACTGTCATCTTCTCATTCACCAGCACCGGCCTATCTGGCTAAATCAGTCGCTGGTCTCGACATAGACATATGCTCCTCGGATTTCGCAGCTGTCTGAATTCTGGCACTTTCCCTGCACCATATTATGTAGCTTACAGCTTCATATTTTGGGGAGATAACAAAGCATATTGCTTTACTTCCACTCACTACTGGCATATCATGTTATTGTGCCCTGCACTCTTGAGGCCTGAAAGGTGCACACCAGAAAATATCGGAAAATTCGCAATACTCGATACAGTTACAGGTTCAG